TGTGTGTGTGTCGCAAACAGGTCGAGATGCCGCTGTGTTTTACAAACAGTTTTTACAAAACAAACGACAAGTCAATAGGACTTCAAATGAGACTGTGATTAAAGGTCATTTCATTTGCTTATAACGTTGTTTCTGTTTAATTGCTTGCGTTTTTCCTCTTTTCTAAATAGCTTAGGATAAAAATTAGAATCTCATGAAAACACGTTCAAGTCACATTTCACAACAAAATCGAAAAAAATATTTGAATAAGGAAAACAACCTATTTTTAGAATTTTATGATTTCATTCCTAATGGGTAAAACTTGCATTAATTTTGCATTAATGCAATGCAACGTTTTGTTTTGTTTTTTATATATATTTTTTCACTTTTCACATTGCTTTTAATGGTAATTCTTATTATTGTCATAGAGTGATTATTAAAATGTAATTTAATTTATTCAGATTTTTTCCTCTATTATTTATGTATTTAACATTTTTATATATTATTTTTTAAAGGGATAGTTCATCCAAAAATGGGAGTTCTGTTATCATTCACTGACTCTCATGTCTTTCCAAACCTGTTGGACTTTCTTTCTTTAGTGGAACACCAGATATTTGGAAGAATGTTAGTAAACAAACTGTTTTGGTTCCCACTGACTTCCATTGAATGGTCAAAAGATATAAGAAAAGTCAAACTGTTTGATTACAAAATATGTTTTGTGTTTATCATAAGATGAAAAGTCGTACAGGTTTGGAACGACGTAAAGAATTTCTATTTTTGGTGAACTGTCCCTTTAAGATGTGTGTCTGATAAATGCTGGAGTGTGAATGTAACGCGTCCCGTTGTTTTCCCGTGTCAGTGTTGGTGCGCATGACTCCAGACAGGTCGCCTCGCCTTCCTCATCTCGCCCACAGACTGAGTAATGGACACTGTAACGAGCTGAGATCAGCAGCACAGAGCGTTGGGAACGACTCGCACACACCGTGCAACAGCACCAGCAGCTCCCGCGCGCCCAGGTGAGCCAGACTGTGTGCCATAATACTGTACTGGAAGTCTAGAAACAAGTGTGTGTGTGTGTGTGAGAGTTTGTGTGTGTATGTGTGTGTCTTATTCATGTAATGGACAATGCTTTGGCAATACTGTGCAAGTCATGCCAATAAAGCTCATTCGAATTGAATTTGAGAGAGAGAGTGTGTGAGTGAGAGAGAGAGAGAGACCGAGAGAGAGAGAGAGAGACAGAGAGATTTCGATTTCGAAAAAAACTTTATTACAAAATATTAACACATTATCCAGACAATCAAGTCAATTTACAGACAATTAAGCAAAAATTGGGCCAAAAACCAAAGTGTTTTCAAAAACCTCACACAAAGCTCCACCATTACACCAGATCAAGTCAAAAGAAAGAAGATCATCCATAGCTTTAAAATAACGAAAATCAATGAGAATTCTAGATTTTACTGAATTAAAAAAAAACGCCAATAAACTATAACTCATGTTTCGTTCAATTTTGTGTTTCCTAGTGTGTGTGAGAGAGAGAGAGAGAGAGTGTGTGTGTGTGTGAAGGCATTAAACTCTGGATGGACTCAAAGGAATAGTTAAAAGAAATTAACATTCAGTCAATCATTATTTCATTCATACCCATATGCTGTTATTTATAATCTGAAATATAATAGCAGAATTTTTAACCTATTTTAATTCAGCTCAGTTCCATTGAAAAACAGTTAATAATCCATAAGCAGGACTGTTGACTTTCAAAAATGATAAAATACACCATAACAGTAGTCCATATGACTTATGTACTGTAAACCAAGTCAGAGGATTTGTGTGAGAAACAGATGCAAATCAGGGTTATTATAATTAACTAAAACTAAAAAAGTTACTTTAAATAAAGTAAGCATTAACTGAAATAAAGTACAAAAATAAACTTGTTTTATAGTTGCCAAGGCAAAATTTCTCATTTTCACTTACTAAAAAAAAAAAAACTAAAGATGACAAAAACACACAACAAAATTACCAAAAATGTAAAATATTAAAATAAAAACTCAATGATGCTAAAATAACACTGACTCAAACTAATCAATGACATCAAAACAATTACATCATTTCATCACTTGGCCAGAAGAGAAGATTTCCAGACAATGACTTAAATTTCTTTATATTATCTTATTATAATATGTACTATATTATCACCCAGCGATGTATTTGAAGTTGGATCTACCTGTATAAGTATTTCCAACTTTACCTGCATACATACAGTACACTCATGTAAAGTGCTACACTATACTGTATTGCAAATCTCAATTGCTGATTTTTTATGTTGTCACAAAATGTAACGCTTTACTGTATGGTTACGGTTACTGGCGTAACCTCGGTTCCCTGAGATAAGGGAACGAGCGTTGTGTGTATGGGGTAAACTCCTGTTTTACTCTGTACTGAAGCCTGATTTTCAGAAGGGAAAGAGCCGCGTCTACGCACTTCATGAAAGTGCGCGGGGCCAGAGACAGTCCAAACGGAAGGACTGTATACTGATAGGCCACTCCCTCATACGGAGCAAATGTGGATCTGTTTTATAGTTAACATCTTGAACGACTGGCGCATAAGCGAGTGGTTCAGACGCCTGAGATCCAGAATGGGTCTGAGCCCGCCATCTTTCTTTGGAACGAGGAAGTAGCGGCTGAAAAAGCCAGGAGTTTTCTCTATACACACAACGTGAAGTGAACGTTCGAAAGGGAACTAATATTATCGTCCAGCTCTAATCTGATAAATGCGACTATAAGGCATGAAGATATTAAGAGATTGTAAACATTAACATCAGGATTTTCTGTAAAAGCTACTTTGAAACAATGTATTTTGTGAATGAAATTCGACTTGACTCTTTTTGTTCCACTAAATAACAGCATATGGGTTTGCTATGATATGAGTAATTAATAAATAATGGCACAGTTGTCATTTTGGTAACACTTACAGTTAGTTCCCATTAACTAACATTAACAATGAGCAATGCATTCGTTACAGTATTTTTAAATCTTTGTCTGTGTTAGTTCGTGTTAGCTCAGGTCCATTAAATAATATTAACAGGCACAACTTTCCATTTCAATAATGTATTAGTTAATTAACATGAACTGTGATTAATAAATGCTTTAGAAGTGCGTTTCATTGTTAGTTAAGGTTAACTAATGGAAGCTTATTGTGAAGTGTTTCTTTAAGTGATGATCGTGTTCTGATCATGTGGCCTCTGGTCTCTAAGCCCGCAGAGCCTCCTGGATTTAGTGCAGATGGAGCAGAAACTCCGAGAGGCCAAAGCGGAGCGGGAACGTCTGCTGAAGGAGAGAGTGAGTTACTGACCGACACATGAAGAACTGAGCCTTGGTCATCATACAGCAAAAATATATTACAGCCAAATATATGTTCTGTATGTTTTTGGCCATTTTTTAATATATTTTTTTAAATATATTTTAAATGTATAAATATATATATTTTTAAATATACCAAAAATGGTGCAAAAAAAATATTTGCTAAAATATTTTTCAGAACATATTTATGTAAATATATTTTCTACCAGAATATTTTTGGGCCATTTTTTTAAAATAAATTTTAAATTTAAAAATTGCATTAAAAATATATTTTTGTCATCATACAGCAAAAATATATAATTTCAAAACATTCAAAAAATGTCCAAAAATATGTTTGTTAAAATATGGTTCAAAATATATTTACGTAAATATATTTTCTACTAATATATATATATATATATATTTGGCCATTTTTGTATATTTTTGAAAATATGTTTATACATTCAAAATACATTTTTTAAAATATACAAAAAATGGCCAAAAATATATTTGCTAAAATATGTTTCAGAACATATTTATGTAAATATATTTTCTACTAGTATTTTTTTTGCCCATTTTTTAATATATTTTTGATAAAATATTTTACATTGAAAAATTGCATTTAAAAATATATTTTGGTCATCATGCAGCAAAAATATATTATTTCAGAACATTCAAAAAATGGCAAAA